TCGCGCGACGTTAATCCGGCCCTGCGAGTATGACATACCTGTGCGCGTTTTTCCAAACTTTGGCATCTTTTATCACAATGTAGTTGTAACCTCGGGAATAATACTGCAAGTCAATGCGTCCTGAAATGGAAAAGATTTTTTTCTCGACATTTCCGCCATTTATTCCTAAATGTCAAAGAAATAAAACTAAAAGGTTCACTATCTTTTGCGGTGTAAAACATAACGCAAATATATTTATTTATTAAAGTTTCCTTAATTAATACAGTTTTCTCAACCATGAAAATCTGATATCTTTCAATTAAGCAAATAAGCATTAAATTGAGGCCAAAAGGTTTAAAGGTTAAAATATGTTGCTGTCATTCTAAATTCACACCTATAATATTTCGCAAAGTGTCTGCTACCATCAAGAAGGATTATACTTAAAGTGGATCTGTGTGTATTACCTGGTGTCGGGGCAGATTCTATATTCTCCACATAGTCCAGAGGTTCCTGTTTCATCCACATAGATAAGGATAATCCCATCTCGCAATCTGTATCGTTTTCACCACATTTCCCAGTGATATTATGGAATATGTATGCATTGTCTCCGGAGAGGGTGATTTCAGTTTCCTCGGTGTTATTTGAGTTTACAAAGTGTTGGTTTACTGCTGGCTTCATCTCGTCTAAAAAAGGGCGTAATTAAGGGGAGTTTAGGGAGATGAATAAAAATGGGAGTATTAGGTAGTACAAGAAATACATACATGGATGGAATATATGGGATGTAGGTGGATAAATAGGTAAATAGATTGGGAAGTTGATAGGTTAGGTAGGCTATGCTTGGTAGGTTATCTTATATGTTAGGTAGGTATGTAGGTAGGCAAGCCAAGCCAAGGAAAGCGAGGCGAGGTGGGGTAAGGTAAGGTAAGGTAAGGTAAGATAAGGTAAGGTAGGGTAGGGTAGGGTAGGGTAGGGTAAGGTATGTAGGTAGGTAAGCTGGTAGGTAGGTAGGTAGATAGTTAGGTAAGTAGGTATGTGGGAAAGTAGATAGGTAGATAGATAGGTAGGTATGTAAGAATGTAGAGTTAGTATGTAGGTACCAAGGCAACCATATACGAATACAAATAACAAAATAAAGCAAGCATAAAATCTCACATACTCTCATTAAGTTTAATAGGTACAGCAACTCTGACGATACCATCTTTAGATGTTCCCAGTTTTTCTTTTATCCAATTCACCCTCTCATCTCCTTTATATCCAACCAGCAGAAACACCAAGTCTTCAGATGTGAGGGAGTATCGCAAACTGATTGCACCAAGAGACTCAAGAAGATGCAATGTTTCATTTGATGGCCTGTGTTAATTTAAAAAAAGAAACCATTGATACAATAGTTCACAGTAAAAGTGTACAGTAAACAGGCATCATACCGCAATTTTTTTCGGTCATTGACCGTTGACTGGCCGTTATTCTGTTCCCTGAACTTTATCTAAAGACTAAATGCTAAATTTACCTTTGGGTGACATTTTGTGTGGCAACAACTACGATTGAATCGTCAGTGACATTCATCAGCAAGTCGTTAACATCTGAAGGATTCTCTGCTGATCCCGATGAAATAAGAGCACCAGTCTTCGGGTTTGCAACAACAACATTATAACCTGGCATCTTTCGACTGACTTCTTGTCCGTTTAACTAAGAAGGAAATACACGATATAACAATTTTCCTTGATAAGTTTTATTTGCTCATGTGTACGGCAAAAACGTGACAATTTTTGCTTGCCAAAGAGCCTTGTTGCAGAGCTAATTGCTTTGATGATTGGTTATATTATACTACCTGAAAAAAACAAGCAGAAACTCGACGTTTCGAGCGAAGATCGAGTTTCTGCTTGTTTTTTTTCAGGTAGTAATATTACCACTCAGCACAGCAATTGACTACTTGCGTAATAGACAAAATTTTGATCTCAACAAGTCTGGACAAACATTTCATCACAGCTTGAAAGAGCATCACAAAATTAGTAATATTCCAAAGTTTCGTTGCGAAATGGTGTAAAATGAGGATAATATAGCCTTGCGAAGTTTGCAGTTTTTCAGTCATTTTGTATTACAAACGATAAATTGACAGACCCAAAGGGTATTGGTCTGTCAATTTCCCCCGCGTAATGCAAAATGACTGAAAATTACAAACTTGGCAAGGCCATATTATCCTCATTTTACACCATTTCGCAACGAAACTTTGGAATATTACTAATTTTGTGATGCTCTTTCAAGCTGTGATGAAATGTTTGTCCAGACTTGTTGAGATCAAAATTTTGTCTATTACGCAAGTGGTCAATTTCACATTGGTACTACCCACACTGGTACAGCCAGTTTTAGTATTGTTCCAAAGCTAGTCAATGGCGCTTTTCGACAAAGACAAACGGCCGCCAAGGAAACCTTGACAGGTGGACAAGAAATACTTCTATGGTTTTGGCAAACAAAAGAAGGCCTTGATGTGAGCATTCCGTGAGCACAGACAACAAAACCTGTCAAGTAAAACTTGTCAAGAAGAACTTGTTGATCGTACACATGAGAGGGTAAACTTGTCAGGAAAACCTGACAAGAAAACCATGCTCGTCTGTATGGAAAAAATATGAACAGAACTTTTATTTATATTTTCAGGTACAGAACGTTCGAGATTGTACATTGAGATAATCCAAAATTCTAATTCACCTTGATTGAACATTTTCGTGTAACAACAGTTTCGTTTGCTCCTTTAAGAACACCAGATCGTGCATGAATGCGAAGAATACCTACAAGAATAAAATATATTATGGCGCTTCTTAAAATTAAGCATAAACAATTTTTTTAATATAACTAACTAACTAACCAGTAAGTAGTTTTTAACAAAGCAGACGATGTATCATAAAGACTATATTATTAAGTAATTTTTGAATTGTATTTGTAGATATATATTTATCAGCGCCGCTAAGGATAACAGTGCATATTTCACTGAATGGGTTACCCTGTTTAATTAAATAAAGTTGTCAAGTGAAAGTTAATCTCTCCGTAGAAATGATTTTTATTGAATGAAAGAACAAACCTTTATAAATTCCGAAAACCTCAACTCTCATGCAAGGTGCATCTTTCCAGGCGGTAGGAAGAAATCGTAAAGCTCGAGCGAGAAATGGTTGAACCGGATTTTTTCTAGTACATCGACAGCTGGTGTTTCCAGTAAACATCTACAGAGGAAAAATAAGGAGCCTAAAATTCATACATTCTTCGCCTTTCAACCTGGTTTCCATGTAGGGTCGTATTCGTGAGCGGATTTTATGGGGGCCCACTGTAAGCCGTGATTTACAGTAGGCTGTCATGGTTTGTTCACCATGGGGTTAGTGAGTTGGAGTAACTCTTAAATGGTAATCAATACTAATTAATGGTTTATTGACACATTTAGTAACAGTTACGCCTCTAATTTACAATGTGTTTACAATATAAGGGAAAGGGAAGAGAAAAGGCTTCAATCTAGATGAGTAATTTTCTAGATGAGTAAAGGGATCAATCTAGATGAGTAAAGGGATCAATCTAGATGAGTAAAGGGAAGACTAGAAAAGGCTTCAATCCAGATAAGTAATCACTATTCGGTTTTCAGTTATCACAATGAGATAGGTAGATCACATATTTTTTCAGACCCCTTCTAGACTGGGAGAGTGTACCCTTTGTAAATGGGATAGGAAGAAAGCATCACCCAGCACAAGTGGTAATAAAAATTACAGTATACTCCTGATCTCCTTCTCAAGAATATTATTCCTAAGTATATATGAGCACAACGTTGATATTCTTAAGTGCAAGTTTGCCAAAGTATTAACCTTCACAGTCTGGTCTTCTTTGTACAGATCCCAAGAAATCCCATCCATGGTACTTGATAGCTTGTACTCAGTCGTGTATTCCATTATTCCAACAGGTTTACCTTGAGTCGCTACACCATGAACTGTTGTAAAAATAAGAATGTTCGTTTTATTAAAAATAGAAAGAACAAGTTGATTAGTCAGGGTTTAATCCGTCATTAATCCACCCTTGAGTGAAAATGAAATTGCGCGCACTTACCTTCGAAATTCCACAGAAAATCAATTTGTAGGTACAGTTTGTTTCGCAAGGGATTACCGCACCAGGCACTGGGGCCATTTAGGCGACCTTCGTGGGCAGGGTAAGGATCATTAGGGTGATTTGAGGACTTCATTTGATCGTCCTTAATGCTACCACTTTCTACATCTGCAGTGGCTTCGCTGTATACTAAAACAGAGCGAGAATCTGTTATATGTAAACAGAGAGTACTGTCAGTTGCAATAACTGTTATCAATGGCAGCCTTGTCAATAACATATACACGATAAAGGTACAAAATACTGTAGAATATGATGCGACTATAGTCTCTGACTATCATGACAATAGTCTTTGACTATAACGACTACGAATATGATGACTATAGTCCTTGACTATGATGACTATAGTTCTTGACTGAATGACTACGAATATAATGACTATAGTCCTTGACTATGATGACTATAGTCCTTGACTAAATGACTACGAATATGATGACTATAGTCCTTGACTAAATGACTACGAATATGATGACTATAGTCCTTGACTATGATGACTATAGTCCTTGACTAAATGACTACGAATATGATGACTATAGTCCTTGACTAAATGACTACGAATATGATGACTATAGTCCTTGACTAAATGACTACGAATATGATGACTATAGTCCTTGACTATGATGACTATAGTCCTTGACTAAATGACTACGAATATGATGACTATAGTCCTTGACTAAATGACTACGAATATGATGACTATAGTCCTTGACTATGATGAATATGATGACTATAGTCCTTGACTATGATGACTATAGTCCTTGACTAAATGACTACGAATATGACGACTATAGTCCTTGACTAAATGACTACGAATATGATGACTATAGTCCTTGACTAAATGACTACGAATATGATGACTATAGTCCTTGACTATGATGACTATAGTCCTTGACTAAATGACTACGAATATGACGACTATAGTCCTTGACTAAATGACTACGAGTATAATGACTATAGTCCTCGACTATGATGACTATAGTCCTTGACTAAATGACTACGAATATGATGACTATAGTCCTTGACTAAATGACTACGAGTATAATGACTATAGTCCTCGACTATGATGACTATAGTCCTTGACTAAATGACTACGAATATGATGACTCTATAGTCCTTGACTATGATGATTATAGTCCTCGACTAAATGACTACGAATATGATGACTATAGTTCTTGACTATAACTGTAGCCTTTGAATATGACGAGTTGATGACTATAGTTCTTGACTAGTATATATTATGACAATAGTCCTTGACTATCTGATATAGTCCTTGACTATCTGATATAGTCCTTAACTATAATGATTATAGTCTTTGACTGATGACTAGAAACCTGAACTATGATGACTAAAGTCCTTGGCAAAATTACTGATGATATGAAGACTATTGTCCTATACAAAATTTGTGTCAACATGTTGTTGGGATTATATGCACCTGTTGTTCCATAAAGTTGGAATCTGAAGTCAGGACGTGTTTCCCAGCTGTCAACTTCAAATCGCACGTGGCGTGTGAGCAAACGTTTTTCTAATGCTGTATAACATTCTCTTGTGTCGAATAGCTAAAAGTTAAAAATCTTATGAGACTAAATCCAACTATTTATGTTCATTGGTGTGATATTTGACTAAACAATGGTTAGTGTAAACGGGTATCACCTCGCATGATCAGCCGGCTCTGCGACCTGGATTTTAGGCAGCTGTTTGATCATAATTCCACCTCAGTCGCATGTCTGAAGATTGTTCCTTGCAAAACTCTACTAAATATCGCATTCTTAAGGGCTCCCCAGTTTCCTCTTGTTTTACAATGGATCAGTAAAAGATGACGTTTACTGCATCTCTGGAGAGAACAGCTTAAAATTGCTAGAGGTATCCAATGTAAAAGTATAAGGTTTCCTTCTGAAGAGCAGCTGTGGGGCCTATCCAGTGTAAAGTTTATGAAGTCAAGGTTGGGCAAATACGAGATGACCATACCTATTCCGGCCCTAATCATATGTTGAAAATTCTTTACCGTCATATTCCCATTGTGATCTCTCAGAAATTTCAAGGATTCCTCTGTATCTCCATACCACAATACAAGTTTGGTGTAATGATCATGTATTCTGTCACCAGCCAAACGAAAGCCAATACCGGATATAACCGTCAATTGAAGCAAATCAACCTTGGAGAAAATTATTAATTGGTATTCAGCCAAATAATGCCGTCCAGTTGCGGTAAAAGGCCCATACACGCCCATGCGGTAAAGGGCACACACTACGTGATAGGCACACAATAAGCCCATAGGCATACGTTAAGACAATGTGTGATTGGGCAGCAAGCAAAACAGTGCGATTCTTAAAACAATGAACAAAAGAACATTGCGATCACTAAATCCTGACTGAATAGCATGGAGAACAGTGCGATTTTCAAAACAATGAAAAGACAATGAAATATCCCTACTATCTATTCAGTTTTAGAAGACCTGCACGGGGACGCCTCTTGATGGATAACCAGCCCACGTGCTTAAATATAAGGCATGTATTGTTCCCAGAACAACAGTCAATTGGGCCCAATGCTATGGGGTCTTTTGAATATATCTTATTTTAGTTTAATATTTTAACATACCTGGATGTATTGCAATCTCTCCTCCTTTACAGGAGACCAAGCTCGTGGGTGGAAATGGTTGGAGATAATACCATGATGAGGTTGATGATTCCTGAGGTGCAAATAAAACAATATCAGCTCTATGTGTCTAAGATGTTCTTCCTAGAGATCTAATGAGGACATCCCTAGCTTTTTGGTCCACTGTTCTTACAGGAGAAAACTTGAACTAAGTTCACTTACAGTATAGATGGCTCTGACAGTTCAAAACTATTCCCGCTAGAGGTCTAGTATTTAGAGCGATCTCTTAGCAGGTCTATGTTGCTACAGGAGGAAAATTCAACTCAACTAACGTTATTTATACTGGATAGCTCTATCACTTCTAAACTGTTCTTCCTGGAGGTAGTAACGGTGGTCTGTTATTGGTCCAGTATTGCTGCATGAGAAAACCTGAACTCAACTAAATTCATTGATAGAGTACTAAATAACTCTACTATTTCTAAAATGCTCTCCATAGAGGTCCAGTAAGAGTCAACCCTTATTCACCCACGTTTGCTGAAGGAAGAAACTGGAGCACCCCCCAATATAGCACCTACCAATCCCTGGAAGAAGAAGCGGTCAGCGTATTTTCGAACTCCACAAATTCCGGATCAATTAATTCAGGTCCATGGATAACTAAAAATAGAAAATGTATTTTTTGTGCTATCAAATTAAAATACAGTCAAATCCGGCTAATACGGGAATATCTCCAATACGCACACCTTTCTAATAAAGACATCTCTCTAATACGGGCACCTCTTTTATACAGGCACCTATCTAAAACAGACATCTCTCTAATACGGACACCTCTCTCATACGCTCACTTCTGTAATACGGATGGATACTTTCATTGCAGTGATGTCATTATGGTGTCTTGTTTAAAATGGAATTAGCCGGCAAGCTTACCTGAGTGGGACAAATTATTTCCCTGTGTTAATATGACTGTTTTAAATTGTGACGAAAATGTGACGCCTCCAAAATATCTTGACGTTGTATTACGACTAATGACAACCAATTTTCACTTTTCTTGTTTATATTTTCCAAATACGGCGCTCTAACTAATTTAGGTAAAAATCAGCAAAAAATGTCCATCTTGGTCAGGTGGGACGGAACGTTCGTATTAAACTTTTCTCCTGCTCGCCTGAAATCCCACCTTAGCCGGGCTGGCTCGTCTCGCATATAAACATACAACGATTTTATACGCAATAAGGTCCCGGTTAGCCCAAACAGGTCCTAATAAAGGCGACACTTTGCTATCTCCCTCCGTGGTCCGTGCTAGAGAGGAACAACTACCTATAGAAGAGACCAAGGCGTATTACCGATCAGTATATTACCTTCATACGTTCCAATAAATTCTACCCTTAATGCACAGGACACGCCACAGGACAATGCATTAATACGAATGAACCGAGCAGTTATAACTGGCCACAGATAATGACTAACAATCTTGGTTTGGTCATCGTTTCCATGAAAAATCTGTGAAAAATTAAACACCATTGCACTTTATTAGCAGTAAAGAAAAGAGAAGAAAAGTGTCAAGTATCTTGGCGTAATTATGGATTGTAAATTAAACTGAAAGGATCATGTCTTTAATTTATGAAAAATATCCAAAGATATTGGCATATTATTTGTTGTGTTGGTGTAATGTACTCAGGTGAATAAGATGCTTGTGATGTTACTCTGAGTGTATATCCACACCGGGCAGGCTTGAAAAATATGCCTGGCCACGGTGGGAATCGAACCTACGACCTTTGGAATACTAGCAGCGGCCAATGCTCTGCCGACTGAGCTACGCGGTCAGGTCGGTTCGAGATGCGATATTTCGTGATTTTGACTTTTAAACTTCGTGATTATACTACTTTGACTATTTAAACTTCGTGATTTTGTTTCAATTGATACACTGATACAAGTTTATTACTCAGTAATCTACGCCGGCATTTCTTATGTTCGCTGTCCTGGACATGTACATACAAAAGTGATTTGCACCCATTATTGATCCTGCAAAAGAAGGCTATGCGGACAATAAAATTTTCCGGTTTCCGTGAGCGCACTTCCCCATTATTTAAAGCATTAATGTTTCTAAAATCTAGTTTATTTCAATGCAGCATCTTCCAGCTGATTTTGGTGACTTTTTCTACCTATCAGAATCAGAATCAATTTATTTGCATTTATTTCTAGCTCACCGGCAAAGATATTCATTACTGATATCCCATAAATGCATATATTTACATTAAATTATAAAAAAGTATTTATGTTACAAACGAAGAGTGCGTAGTGGCCAAAGGAGCAAACGTTTACGAGTTGGCCACTACCATAGACCTTATTCATAAATCGTGACGAGGCCTCGTATCCTAGGAAACGGGGAAAAAAGGCTATGGCAGCTTTTTTTCGTGAATATTACGGCTTTTTTCGAAAATAATATCTATAAAACTGAGCTTGAAAGTTGAAAAAAATACTTCTGAGAAAATATAACATGATATTTAAAGCAAAAGATGCTGGAGTCAATCAAAAAAGGAAACCTTTGACTTTGTATTATTGTCGTAGTTTGTATGGGCAAAACAAAGAACCAACAAGGCTACAAAACGTCTATACAACACCAAAATCGTAAGAAATATGAAACTATTGTTGAAGAAATAAGATTACAACTCACTCAGGTAATGTAGCCTTCATTTTTTAAACTTGTAAGCTGCTTGCAGAATGTTATCGAGCCAGAGCCATAGTTCATATTTTCCCGTACGAATCAATGACATTTGACGTATTCTCTTGTGACTTTTGACCTGTTGTTTTCTTCCACATTAATGTCAAATTCGAAAAATTATACTTTCATTCCATAGTTGTCTTGATTTTCCACGGAATAACCTTTATATTGACGTTAAAATCTCAGTAAAATACTGTTTTTCGCTTCTGGATAAACACTGTCGCCCAGGGTGGAAAGTTTGTAGGTTGCGCCGAAGATCTTCGGCGTGGAAAATTCATAAATTTGCTCCATTTTGGCGCAGAATAATGGGAAAATGAACTGGCGTGGCGCACTGGCGTACAAAAATTTATTTAGTTGTGCACACTACAACGTTCTCAACCATTTCTGTTTGTATTTCAGCCATGTAATAACGGGAATTTGATTGAGCACTGACTGACCGTATTTCAAAAGTTTAGTATCTGTTCTGTCTCGGCTCTAAAAGTGTTGACATTGCAACTCAGCGGCGCATGTGAATATGTTTAAAACAGGATTTGTACAGCCACTGGCGCATGTTACCTGAACCTCGATCAAATCTTCGGCGCACAAAAAACAAACTTTCCACCCTGGACTGTCGCCTCGACTGTCGCTACGTTGTCATTTTTTCCACACAAAAACGGGAGAAAAACCGGTCGCTTTTATAATATACTCATTTACCGCTTTCGTTGTGGGAACAAAGTCTTAAAATACACACAAAAATCGTTATAAATCGAAAAAAGCAACAAGAAACAAGCCATTAAAGTCGACACAATAGCATCTGAATTTTGCTTGTCAAGCAGTTTTCGCTTGTTTTCCCGCGTTTTGTTCCCGTATCCTAGGATACGAGGCCTCGTCACGATTTATGAATAAGGTCTCATAGGAAAGTGAACGGCACAAATAATGTAGAAATAAGTTATATTAAGGTTTCTAACTGTATTTTAATAAAATAAATAATATTATAAAATAACATGTATATAACGCGTGCTCTGATTGGTCGAAACCCGTGTTTGGATCAGGCCATCCAAACACGGAAGACTATCGTGTTGTTGTTATTTTATAAAACAATTACTTTATGGTTTCCCTGTTAGGATGGCCTGATCCAAACACTTGGGAATGTTGCTCGAGTTAAGAAAAGCGCGCAAAATCACTCGCCTTCGGCTCGTGCTTTCGCGTGCTTTTCTTAACTCTCGCAACATTCCCGCGTGTTTGGATCAGGTCATCCAAACACGGAAACCATAAAGTAATTGTATATTCTAATTGTATGTTAATATATACAAATGATTATTATACGTTCTTGTGTTTCTTTGAGTGTTCGTGTTTACGGCTGTCAAGGTAAACGTGGCTATACAATTACTTTATGGTTTCCGTGTTTGGATGGCCTGATCCAAACACGCGGGAATGTTGCTCGAGTTAAGAACTCGAGCTACATTCCCAAGTGTTTGGATCAGGCCATCCAAACACGGAAACCATAAAGTAATTTGTTTGCGATGTTACTCTGAGTGCATATCCACACCGGGTGAGCTTTTCAAGCTCGCCCGGTGTGGATATGCACTCAGAGTAACATCGCAAACATATTATTCACCTGAGTACACAACACCAACACAGAAAAAATTCATATTACAAGAACACATTGGTATTGAAGGAACTAGATACTGTTCCGAAATATCACTTACTCGAACCGTCCTGACCGCGTAGCTCAGTTGGAAGAGCTTTGGGCTAGTATTCCAAAGGTCGTAGGTTCGAATCCCACCGTGGCCGGGCATATTTTTCAAGCTCGCCCGGTGTGGATATGCACTCAGAGTAACATCGCAAACATATTATTCACCTGAGTACACAACACCAACACAGAAAAAATTCATAAAGTAATTGTTTTATAAAATAACATGTTACAATACTATACGAATGCGCATGCGCATTACTTGCGTCTTATACACGTTGGTCAAATTTAGAAAAATTTCTCCCACTCGTGCGGGGTCGTATTGTCAGCGGACATCTTACAGAAAGTGGGCAGTTCTGTGCAAAATGCAAAAGTTACAATTTTTCATAACAAGTCCGCTGAAAATGTCATCTCAAAACAGTGTCATCGCACACTGGGGGAACACAAATGAAATTTCGTTAAGCATGCCCTGGGGAAGTCCTAGAATACTGTAATAAAATAACAATAAATCAAACCTTCATCATATCATCTTCTTCATACGATTCAAAATCCACACCGTTATTTCCATAGGACAACGTATAATTGTAAAACAATTGAGTAGAGAAGCGAGCCTGAGTTTGAACTTCAATGATATTAACTGTTTGATAAAATGCAACTTGTAGCCAAGCTAAGCGATCAGTTTCGAGAGCCGCCCAGCTGTGTCTTTCAACGTTTTGGTTTTGGAAATTCAGGCGAGCGCCCCCCGGCAGTTTCCAGCCAGCTGAAGAAGATGCAGTTATCTGTGTATCGGAAATTTCTCCGCTTTCCATGCCAAGTGGTCTGGCATAACATGTAGCTGGAGAAAGGCAAGAATGAACTAAACTAACTTTGTTAATGCTTGACGATTTCTATATACTGTATAGCTCTATCAGTTCTACCAGTTCAAATAGAGTTCTATCCAGTATAAAGAAAAGTTCATTGGTTTAGCTTTCCTCCTGTAAGACTGGACTAATAACAGTTATAGAGACCATCCAGTATGTAAGTCTACTTTTATAACATACCTGCGCATGTGATATAATAGCCAATAACTTCCATTCTAAGTGATATCCTTATCTGGAAATTGGTGACAGTAATACGGATTGCTCGAGCTTCGAAAGGAGGCAAGACTGCCTTCCGAACCACAGAATAACCGTCCTTATTCGCAGTTGTAGTCTAGGAATACATGTAGAAAATATCCATGAAGATTATCAAATTAAACACGAGCAATGGACCAATCCCCAATTAACCAAAATTTTGACCTCAACAAGTCTAGACAAAATTCCATCATAGCATGAAAGAGCATCACAAAATTAGTAAAAGTTTAGTTGCAAAATGTTGTAAAATGCAAATAATATAGCCTTGCGAAGTTTGCAATTTTCAGTCATTTTAGATTACAAACTGGAAATGGTTACCACTTCTGTGCGTAATCTAAAATGACTGAAAGTTACAAATTTCGCAAGGCTATATTATCCGTATTTCACAACATTTTGCAACGAAACTTTGGAATATTACTAATTTTGTGATGCTCTTTCATGCTATGATGGAATTTTGTCTAGACTTGTTGAGATCATCAGATCAAAACTTTGGTTAATTGGGGAATCAGCCCATTGCGAGCGGAAATGCAAGGATCTAGGCCCTCTGACAAGAATCGAACTAACATGCGACCCTGCGATTTTGGTGCAACGCTCTACACTTTTATCAAACTGGGGCGAGGAAGAAATTAATTTGGTAAATTTTTTCTCGATTAGTAAATTTTAGACCACAAAGTAATAAGTTTATATAATAAGTTTAGTAATAAGATCTGGTCACACTGATGCAGTTATCGATTTAGTTTAGGTTCCTCCTGTAGTAATAATGTTCGACTAAGAGATGACCTTGTACTCAACCTCGTACCCAGGGCTTCTGCACTTATTGTAAACATTCAACTTAGATGTTTATGACGTTGAATATGTTGGGCATAAACATTCAATTTGGATAGTTATGTCGTTGACTGTCTTCGGCATAAACATTAACTAGGATGGTTATGCCGTTAACTCTCTTCGGCATAACCTTTCAACTTAGATGTTTATGGCCTTGAATATGTGTTCGGCACTTTCAACTTAAACACGATCAACTTTGGTGTTTATGACGTCGATATTCGACGTTATAAACACCAAAGTTGATCGTGTATATGACGTCGAATATCGACGTCATAAACACCAAAGTTGATCGTGTTTATGACGTCGAATATCGACGTCATAAACACCAAAGTTGATCGTGTATATGACGTCGAATATCGACGTCATAAACACCAAAGTTGATCGTGTTTATGACGTCGAATATCGACGTCATAAACACCAAAGTTGATCGTGTTTAAGTTGAAAGTGCCGAACACATATTCAAGGCCATAAACATCTAAGTTGAAAGGTTATGCCGAAGAGAGTTAACGGCATAACCATCCTAATTGAATGTTTATGCCGAAGACAGTCAACGACATAACTATCCAAATTGAATGTTTATGCCCAACATATTCAACGGCATAAACATCTAAGTTGAATGTTTATGCCGAACATATTCAACGGCATAAACATCTAAGTTGAATGTTTATGCCGAACATATTCAACGGCAAAAAACATCTAAGTTGAATGTTTATGGATTAAAGTCACTAATTCAGCTATGATCAATTCGCTATATGTTCATGAACACGTGGTACAGTGGTAGAAACTACAGACGTCAAATGAGTAATGGATCGATTCTCGCCGAAGACATTTGTTATATTTTAGCACCAAAAAATATTGGAAAATTTTTATTTTTTTTCTCGAAAAATATTTTCTCAGGATGAAAGCAAACGGTATATTCCTACTTACTTTACCCAAATATTTATGATTAAACGCCATTAACGTCTAAGTTGAATGGTTATGCCGAAGACAGTCAACGGCATAACCATCCAAGTTGAGTGGTTATGCGGAAAACAGTTAATGGAATAAGCATCCTAGTTGAATGTTTATGCCAAACATATTCAACGGCATAAACATCTAACTTGATTCGAATGTTTATGCCGAACATATTCAACGGCATAAACATGTAAGTTGAACGTTTATGCCGAACATATTCAACGTCATAAACATTCAACTTAGATGTTTATGACGTTGATATTCAACGTCATAAACATTCCAAGGTTGCCTTGTACTTAATGGACAGCCTCGTACCCAGTCGCAAAAAATAACTAAAAATAGGCACACTACAGTGTTTTCATATAGATCAGTGACTAAGCTGAGCGAGCTGAACCAATGAGCTGAACTCGCCCAAGCACCTCCGTGCCACTGATCTATATAAAAACACTGTAGTGTGCCTATTTTAATTATTTTTTACGCCTGGGTACGAGGCTGCTTAAGGAGGCTCCCTACAGTTGCGTGCGGGATGTTCGCGGGACCAGTACGTGAACTATCCCACGCAACAGCATGATCAAAACAAAACAAAAACTGACCACGCTTTTTTTAAAACTAAAGCTATTTCTGAAAGGTTTCTAATGGAAAAAAGCGTTGAATAATACTTAGTTTTGAGTGCCAAATCACTTGCGAGTCTATACAGCAATTCTACATATGATACGAATATCACTAGACCAAAAAATAGCTACGAAACAATGTTTTTTAATTTTTTTAAATATACACTGTCAACTGTAAAACATTTGCAAAATTGCATACAAACGTTTAAAAAGTTATTTACTTCTCAAGAAAACGTTCACATTTTTAGTCGTGTTTCTACAAGATTAAAGTGATTATATGTAAACAGAAAAATATTTCAGTTTCATAGCCTAATTGTTCATTTTTAGCAAAAAGTACAAAACCAAACATGAAACAAAAAACACGTCCACCTGTTAATAGGCTGCTACAGCTCATAGATTGAGTAAACGGCAGGGTTTAATTAGCTTCAACCTTGTTTTCATCGATTTGATCCTTCACATTAATCCTTGGCTGTCCATGGCACTCAAATAAATCGAAAAGTTGACAAAAAGTCAAAAACAAAACAGTAAAAACAACATTTCCGCTCGATTTTGCTGAATGAAAACTCGTTCTGCGCCCGCGTATAATCTTTTACTAGTCAGCGTCGCTTTTTAATAAGGGGAATTTCTCGAGTTACACGAGGCTATTTTCTAACTTTATTTGCATTTTACTCATTAGTTTCATCGGTGACCTATCTTCAAATTTTGACCACGAAGTTATTTTGCGGTAAATTATATAAATTTCAATTTTTAAAAAAATCTGTAGTGTGGAAATTTCGCAATAAAATTTTCGCTTTTAAAAAAATCACACACTACAGAATTTTTTTAAACTTTCACCACAGTTGTAGAGCATCATTCCCTATTGATATATGAAATAAAAAAGATAGGTCACCGACATCGTTTGTGAGATAGCGGCACATTTATGGGTTAAATTGGAAGGTTTTGTGCTGTCGTCATGTTGCCATGGTAACGCTGACGTTGTCGAAATCTAGTTCGAAATATTCCTTAGGTGACCAATATTGTCACCAAATCGAAACGAATTCGCGTTCTGCACAAATAAGCCTGTTTTACGGAATTATTGGGTAAACAAGAATAACTGTAGGGAGCCACCTTAATTGACACTATATAGGGAGAACAGTAGATATATATAAAGATTTGGGTACTCGATGAAACTAAACGTAAGATGAAAATTTTGAAACGAAGCTGCCTTTTCCTACCAGAGGGGCTATAGTTTTAAAAGAGGGCCTATAGTTTTCGCAGCCACTCCTGGTTAGCTCTGAAAATGTATAAATTTAAGCCTGGAAATTTCCAACCTACAAAAACCCCTCAACCGTAGATAGATCATATAATACAACCCAACATGAATAAAGTTAGTTTCAATTACCCAAACATACGACGTGAAAGCAGTAAAATCCACCGCGTTCAGAGAGTATTCGACATTATACGATTTAATCCATTCGTCGGGATCGGAGTCTGTTCGACCCTGCGTCCATATCTCTGTCACTTTGACAAGTCGCAAGAAGTCGACCTGCAACCATTGATCTCCTGCAGAAGCGACCCAAGTTCTTTCATTGTGAAGTCGGCCGTCATGTGGACCATGGTTGGCCTGATTTTCTGTTGACGCACTCAACTGACCGTCTTGAATTCGGCGATCTTCCAAGCCAAGCGGTCCGGGTTTCTGATCTGAACGAAAATGATAACAAGAGTGGGTTGCGAACTAAAGACTGGCCATCATTTATGGCGGGGGGGAGGGTGGTTTGCCACCAAAGAGAAATATTTTTAGCCAACCTCAAATATCAATTAAAAAATAAATGCCCACCCCTGGCCAAAAACTTTGATACCGTTCAGTTGTCACATATGTCCTTTTAATACCACTTCTGTGACATGAATTTGATAACTGTTTGTGCAATTTTCTGCAGTCTAATGTTTCATGTTGTCTGCATATGTACTTTCTTTGGAGACACCATTTGCCTCCTGACAAATAGGAAAATGACGAAGATAGTGACTATGATTAATTTACATATTGCATTGACATATGTCTGTTGACATTGCTTTTTAGTCTTCAATAGGGGGGGGGGAACAAAGGCGAGAGAAAGAGAGTGAGAAAAATGGGAGGGGCAAAAACTTGCTCTTTTTCTATCCCCTTCGCCTCCCCCCCCTAGTTTCTCCCACCCTCGCCCTCCCCCCTAATACTCCTTGGAAGAATGAAGAATAAGTTTACCTTTGTAGTAACCAATAAACTCCAATCTCATAGCTCGATGATCTCTGAATTCCTTGGGATATATACGAATAAACTGGGCACGTATGGCCGGGGACAATGCATTCCGTATGATGGTGTTTTTATCAGTATTACCAGGGAAAAGCTGTGGGTAAAATAAAAATGCGTTTAGTTTCTGTTTACCAGTTATCGACATGGTCATGTTTATCTACTTAGAACATTAACTATAGTCAGACCTCTCCTCATGGCGCACTTCCCTATAATAAGGACACTTCTCTAATATGGACACCTCTCTAATATGGACACCTCTCTAATACGAACACCTCTCTAAAACGAACACCTCTCTAATACGAACGCCTCTCTAATACGAACGCCTCTCTAATACGAACACCTCTCTAATACGAACGCCTCTCTAATACGAACGCCTCTCTAATACGAACACCTCTCTAATACGAACACCTCTCTAATACGAACACCTCTCTAATACGAACACCTCTCTAATACG